GCTTCACAATAATATTATTCAATCCATAATTAAGCCAGCAGATCATAAACTTATATAAAACCCCACAGTACATGTAGGTTAATTTATAACATATGCCAGTCTGTCAAACTCACATCTGATCACGTTATAGTATTGTATAACAAAACTAGCTTGAACATAACAAAACAGTCTTTCTCCCTGTTGACAGTAGTTGATAATCAAAGGGGACTCTTTGAGTCACGACTGAAATTTTTTGGTCAAATCCAGGGGAAAGTGGAGTAAACTGACTTGACTTAGCGGGGTTCTACTGTACAAGTTGACTGCGGGAAATTTTGTAACGAACAAAATTTTCTTCCAACACATTTCAAAAATGTTTACAAAATCAAAGGTGACAAAGGTTTTTTTAGGCTTTTTCCAAGGTAAATCATCTTAAAAATGACATATTTATGCAGGAATTCCTAAGAAACTTGTTGATCTATGTTTTATTTTATGAATGTTGTGCGTTCTTTTGTGAATTATGCACTTTTTCGTGAATTGTGCAATGGGATGCGATTTGAGGTCAACTGTGCGAAATCGCACCATCGCATAATATCAGAAGGCCTGTTTATTGCAGATAGTTAACTGACTGAGTGACTGACTGACAAACTGACTGACTGACTGACTGACCAACTGACCAATTGACTGACTGATTGAAAGATTGACAGCAGTTGATCAATTAACTGAGTGACTGACTGAATGATTGATTACTTGATTGATTAACTAAATGGTTGATTGACTGACTGACTTATTGATTGACTAAATGAATGATTGATGGACTAACTGACTGATTGATTGATTGATTGATTGATTGATTGATTGATTGATTGATTGATTGATGGACTGACTGACTGATGGATTGATTGATTGATTGATTGACTGACTGACTGACTGATTGCTTGACTGACTGACTGGCTGACTCACTGACTCACTGACTCACTCACTGATTGATTGGCTGACTGATTGACTGACCGATTGACTGATTGATTGATTGGTTGATTGTACACATCTTGCAGCACTTCCTCGAGTCTAAAATATTCTACACAAACTCCTATTGAATATTTGTGATATATGTTTTAGTAATTGCATTTTCTCTCTTTAATATCTGACAGCAAGATGCTTACAGCAAGCTAGGAGGAACAAGTGAAATAGTGATCAGAATAACAGACTCTAGTGCGAACACAGCATTGCATAAGGCTGCAGAAGCTGGTAATCTCCAATGCCTTCAGTGGCTTGTAGAACGACTGCCAAACGATTGTTTGAGGAACATTACAAACCAGGATCATCTTACACCCCTGGCTGTAGCAATTAAGGTAGGAAGCCTTTGTGTTATGCTGGCAAATGATACATAATTTCTTAAAGATTGCTAATATATCTCTCAAAGTTCTCACAAGGTTGATGTAAAAGGATTTTCCTGAATAAAGCCAACTTTGAAAATTGGACTGTCGGATCAAGAAATGGTCAAAATGCCTCACATGTACCAAAGAGTATAACAGACTGTTTTAAACGTCACTGAAAAGTTTTGAATTTTGCAGTTTCAATCTGGTTATGGTCATTCATGGTATTTGTGCTTGAATCTCTTACATGTTAGTATGGGAAAGTCCATTGTGTACAGTGGCTTCTGGACGATACTTCAGCTGCTGATGAAATTTCAAACAATGCTGGCAGATTTGCACTGATTCAATTGACAATTCAGAATGGACAAGATGACTGCCTAAAGTGCCTCTTATCATACATCAGTGCTAAATACCTGGAACTTGGTAATTATAATGTTCAACCCAGCATGCAATGCAATGTTTTGTCACAGAGGAACAAGGAGAACATGATGTTTCCCTCTATCTTGACTTGTTTCTTGACTTTTTCCTATTTTCCTTGATACTCCCCTGTAATAAATTACCATAAAATCCTATGTCAAAGTCCCCAGTTATAAGCCCATTTCCCCCTCTCCTCCCCCCTGATATAAGCCCATCTACTGTATAAGTACATTCTTTTGCGTTTCTTTACAAACATCAAATTTTTTTAAATTAATTGAAAGTCATAGGTTAATAGGGTGATAATAATAGCTCTATATGTAATGGTATGTTAGTTTTAATCCCTTTCTCAGATACCTTTTATCTCCTCGTTCTGAAACATTTTTTTTCATTCTGCTAATATGCCTCCCCCGAATATAAGCTCCCCCATTTATAAGCCCACCCAAAACACCGTGTGAAATTATATAAGCCCAGGACTTTAATGTGGGATTTTACGGTAATTGTAATAATAATGAAAGCTGGTCTGGAGTATATTCACAACAGTACTGCAGATGATTTTCTTGTTCAAAAACGTGAAATAATATTATTGTCTGTACCAAACATTCAATATTTTCTGTTGTTCTCCAGCAAATGTTCAGTTCTCTCTTGAGTTGTTGTGACACTTCCACCACATGTCACGCAATCTTGAACGTTTTAGTCACGCTTTAAAAGGGAAGTTTCAAAGTCAATCAACTAATCAATCAACCTTTTAAAAGTTGCCCCAGAAATAGTTCTTTACTTCCAACTGTACCTTAATACGTTTGTCTAACTACGTACCAATATTACTATCCATGGTATCAAGGCCTCGCAAATTAAAGATGGCCGACTTTCATCACTGGCAAATCAATAACCCTTCGAACACTGTAAAAATTAAATTCTTTTACATTATCTTACAGTGTAGAAAAAAACACGTAAGTTGCAAAATAAAGGATGCTTTCCCAACGTGTTTCTTACCTTTCCAACTCTAAGCGCGACTGACCTGGCTGTACTTTCTTGCAGATGTCGCCAACACAGCTGGCGTCACACTTGCTCACGTTGCCGCCAGGGAAGGTCACATGACTTGTCTCCAGACCCTTGTGGATCACAACATTGACGTCACCACCGAAGACAAAGATGGCCGCTCTCCCGCCGATTACGCTTACGCAGCTGGTCAAACTGGTTGTGCCCGTTACTTGGTGATGGAAGAATCGTGTTGGTTACTTTCTCAGAGGGTAGCGAAGTTACATAGAGAACTCAAAGATTGCAAAGAGGAGAATAAAGACCTCAAACAAAGGCTAGAGGCAAGTTACCTGTTATGGGCATATACGTCAATGCATTGCCTAAGTGAAGCCATAGTTCCCCTCTACTAACTATGGTGAAACAAGAGCGCAGCATACAGAAACTTGTGGGGATACCTAGAAACTGATGATCTGAGTTCTTTTCTCCTTCTTTTATATTTTAGCTTTTCATGAACAGGTAGCTTAATTGCGAAACCAATTTTACGGTCCAAAAATCCCTGTACTTTTAAATGATCTTCACAGTGATTATTTCTCGAACAGTTCCTGGAAAGTCGGGCACGAACTGGTATGCCAGACAGACCGGAAGCAGTCGGTGGAGACCAGGTAAATGATGCGATCAATTCGAGAGCAGGAGACACGGAGATTGGGTGGGGCTAGGGGAGGGGTCTGTGAGAGAGGATTCGGAATTTCTTTTTGTAGTTTATAGTTTGAATTCGTCCTCCAAGTCTGTATGGGTGTGCATTTCCTTTTAACTTTTCCCTCTTTTGACAAGTTGTTGTGGTAGGGTAAACCATTGCGTTGGGATAATAAACCTTCCGCGACATTCAGTGGCAATGTAATTTCTGATCTGAGATGGGGGCACTTGATTTGAATACTTAGTGTAACGGCTAAGTCTCGCTCGACCTCATTGTGGCCCTCATTAAGAGTTAGCATATCCCAGTTTCTGCAACACGAAGCAACTAGGGTTCGCTCTCCCCTTCGTGTGATGCAACACCATCGCTTGACTGGAGAACTTAGTCACAGACGTTTTGAGCCACGGGTGGCAACCAGAAGTTCATGTTCTTGCTCTTTGGCACGCTCTTACCGCCCTCCCCCCTCCCCTCCCCCCAATGAGTTGGGTAGAGAGGCTATCACTTAAACTTGACCTTTTCAACGAAATGTCAATCATATGCGCGAAATAAGAGAGCATTGGATTTCCGATGGTAATCCGCCTCTCAAAAACGTCTGTGTTTTCGCCTCTCGCTTGTTCTGAAATGGGAAAGGAAAAAGAACGTATTTATAAGTACAAACTAAGTGCAACTCGATGGCGCTGTCTGTATTTCATCCCTATTTGGTGGTTTTCTCCTCACAGAGCGATACCAATAGTACTGAGGCAACAAAATCTACAGACGACAAACTGGGTAGTAAACTAACGGATAGCCCGCGTAGCGACAGAAGTCGGGCCAGCGGCTCACCCGATGGTGAAAGCCCAAAAGCTTTTGGACGAGAAAGGTGAGTGGAGTGCGAAGTAGCAGTTCGCTGATATCACGCGCAACATTTTGTCAGGTTACCATTGGGTAAAATTTGCTGGTAAACCTGATAACACTCGAGGGTGGAGAGAAACAATGTCCGAGTTAAGCTTATCTTTCATGAGAACAACACATAAAGAACTCCGTCGCCTGCTTAGCTAGACCAGAAAGGTACTGCGCCTTATAGATACCGTTTCCTTTCAAGCGTTTTATGGCAACCGAATAATGCAATAGAGTTACATGGGTTGACAAAATATGGAGAGAGAAAGAATGAAAACGGATTTCAATCAAAATGTTTGGTTGCCTCTTTCAGGCACGAGGGCAACTTTCTGACCTTCCGTAAAAAGGCCGTTAAAATTTTTCACAAGTCTTGCTTCAATGCAGCAATTCTTTTAAATTATTTTCTTGATAATATGTTTGTACGATGTATTTATTGCTTTATTGCTGTTTAAAATAGCCTCTTTTGATCAATAGAAGTGCCTATCATTATCACATCGACGGATCTGATCACAGCCCGAAACACAGACCGCTGTCCAACCGACGGCTGAACAGTAACGGGATAGCAGTTATGAACAAAGAGACTGAAGTGATAAGCGCGCGTCAGTTTGAAGCACTAAAACAACAGAGGAGACTGGGCGCCAGAGGGAGTATAGACTCTGGTGGTTCAGGAGTCTCACCGCCAATGTCTTGGTCGGACACAGCTGGTGAAAACTCAACTATGCAACAAGTTATGGCGTAAGTGTGAAACCGAGAAAAGAACAGTTAAAATCAAACCTAGAAGAAAAATGTTCTGAACATTATTTTCGTGAAAGGTACCAGCTCCTTCACACATCGTGAACAGAAAGCCACTTGTAGAACGGTCCTTGCCGTCGAAACATTTTGACATATAATTTTTGCGGCATAAAATTGCATCTTTTAATATTGGCTTGCACATGGTACATTAACGTTTTCATGGTGATTTAATTTTAATTGTGTGGTTTTTAAGCCTGTTTTGAGTAAAATCCTTTCGGCGTACTGTGCGCAAAATTAGAAAAGTGTGGGTTACACTTTTTAACATCATATTTCCTTCTACAGGAAACAAATAGCCGCCAATACGCGCAGACTTGTGATGTCCAAGCGTGCGCAGAAGGTGGAGGAATCACCGCTAATCAAGTCTAAACTGACTCCAGTCAGAGTCGACGGTGTCTCTGTGGGTGAACCGAGACTTAAAGGTACGTAGTTTGCCAAGTACATGCCATATGGAACATAGGGCATCTATAATGTTCCTCCACTCATCGCGGTCTTGGGCACGTCAGTTGTATTTCGTCCCATTTTAGTCCTGTCTGCCGAAGTTCTTGTTCTGCTTACCTTCGCCAGGTATTTTCTGGCCTTTCACGCGTTCTTTTACCTTGCGGGTTCCAGAAGAGAGCTCGCCTGGTGTCACTTTCCCGTTGCTGGCCAAGAGTGTTATCGATCCATTTCTACTTCTTTCTTCTAAATTTGAGTCAGCATCTTTTCTTCCTGTGTTATCATCCAGAGAGTTTCGCTGCTGATGGTTTCTGGCCACCCGACACCAAGGATGAAGCGTAGGCACCGATTTACGAAGGCTTGAACTTTATCCGTGATCTTCTTTGTCATGACTCTTTAAGTTTCGGCTCCATACGTCACGACGGTCTTGACATTAGTGTGAAATGTCCTTAAAAAGAAAACATATATGTCCTAAGGTTTGTCTTCAGGAATCTCCCTACATCTCCACACTGGTCTAAGTAGAAGGAAAGTTGTCCTAGCTTTGCCTATCCTCACCAGCACTTCCTGTTCAGAACCTCCCATGTGATCACTTTGTTTTTCTTGTTGTCTTTATTTTAGGTCCCAGTCTCCAACTCCGTCCAGTCGACACGTATCATTCCGCATCGTCATCTCGCTCCCATTCTCCTGCTCGGACAGACTCGACATCAGGAAGCCGGCCTACGTCTGGGACTCCAAGAGAAGAATTGAACGAGATAAATAAAATAAAAATAAATAACGCCAGAGACGAGAAAAGAACTGCAAGCGAGGATAGAGCGGGCACACCCGCAAGGTCACGATCACTTGCAAACAGACGTAGAACGCCAACATTTAGCTCTGATAGCACGATAAGTTCTGATAGTGACGTTGAACGCAGTGCCCAGCGAAGCAGTGGACCGCGCCATCGTCGCGGACACCCATCTTCAAGTCGAACGAAAGACCACAATACAAATACAACGGGTGCTCGCCAAACTTTGCACAGGCAAGTCCCGGTTGGAGCAAATAGAGCGAAGAAGACTGTTTCATGGAATGAATCGCCGAAAGACACTAATCTTACTAATGTAAATAGACAAATTCCTACAGAGAGGCCCCGCATACCTCCAAAACCGCCGGTGCGGACAACGTCACGTGATAGTGGTGTCCCTAGATATGTACAAAAGGACAGAAATATGACCTCGCTAAATGGGGTGAAGAGGAATCTGGGAAGTGGTGTTGTTCCGTCTGTTATAGTCCAAAAACCTGTAAAGCCAGTTGCGGTAAGTTTATGACAACGTATATTTGAATCAATGGATTAAATAACGAGGGAGAAGCTAAGGCATCTTTTTTGTCGTAAAATATTTTGCCTCAATGTGCAATATCGGTATTAATATATTGAGCTTAAAATGTTGTAATGAAGAGAACAGTGTTCCACATGGAAACAGAGGGCGTATGCTGTGAGTTCTTTATTTACAAGTGTATCCTCCAAGAGCTATTTTAGTCAGGGTTGGCTTTTAGAAGCTGTTTATGGACTGTTGTGTTGTTGCTTTTAAGTTAACTAAAGATAACACGTTTGAAGAAGACTGTAGTTTGGTGTGAAATCACAATAATGATTAGGGGATTGATATAATTGTGGGATACAGCACTGATAACCAGTTCAGTTAGGGCCTCCGTGCACGCTATTTACTTATTCATAAGTATTTCTTTCAAACAGGAACAATCAGGTCTTGACGTGTTAACATACTCGCTGGATGGATATCAACAGGACGATAGACCATGGTAAACGTAACTTAATTATCTTTATAATAATCTCATACTGCATACTTGAAATAAGATATACGTGCCATGTCGATTACATATCATCTAAATATTCATAAATAATTCTGTTCTCGGATGGAACGAGTAAAACTATATATTTATTTATCATTTCGCGTCGCCTCATCGAATGGTTGTGATGAAAGATGATGGCTAGGAAGTGCTCTAGGAGATGTGGGGCGCTTTTCGTTCAACCGAAAATTTCGAAACGAGGACAAATGGTACGGAAATTTCCAGGGAAAGTTTCCAGAAAATCTGAAAATTTCTGAAATTTTGGGAAGAAAGTCAATTGGAACGGAAATTCCGCGTAAGAAATAGACCTTTCCCACATTCCACTTCAGTGCGTTCGAATAATAGCACCAGAGCGAGGTTCGAGTGGACGTTTTCATACATTTGCTGTATTTTTGTCCACCCTGACCTCGACTCGGCGCCATTGTTTGTTGGAATGCGGGAAAGGTCTATTTCCGAAACTTTCGGTCTACCTCGACACGCCCTCTTTTCAGGAATTCCGAAAAATGCTGTTCCATTCGTCACTGGAAATTTCCGGAAATTCAGACCAGAATTTTTCATCGTATGGCGTTTCACCCGAAACATTTCATTCTGATGACGTAGTCAACAGAGATCCGTTTGACTGTTGCTTTGTCGGTTTGAATTTTTGTGCGTCAGTAGCATCCAATCAGAGAGACTACGCGGATGTCTATAGACACGTGATCAATATGGATTGTTTTGGACAGTAGGCGATTTGCATGATGGCGTCAATTGACTACAACTACCAGAATCCTTCACTATTCTGCTCCTTATGCTATAATTAGGGTAATTAATAAAGAAAAAAAGGAAAGGAATTCTGGTAGCTGAAGTCAAACTACGACAACGTGCACATCTGCTATTTTCCGACTTTTTATCTCGTGGAGGAAGACGCGATGGCACGTAAACCGGTATACGAGATGTTTAATTCACTGGCAAGAAATCCAGGCTGACAAGGTTGTTCGGCAGAAATGTACAAGATGAAGTAGAATCTCACTGTGTTCAGTTTTGTTTTATGTTTTCTTTGTTGTGGTTGTTTGTTTGTTTGTTTTATTTAGTTTTGTAATGTAAAACATCTAAATTATTTTGTTTTTATTTTAGGTATGAAACAGATGAATTTGAGTGAAGCATTAGTAAAAGCTAGTAAACTGGATGGAAATACTCTACTCTTTCTCCTCGTCGTTAAGGGACCGCGTTAGTAAATACAATTAAAACAATTATTCCACGAGCGCGCGTTGGATTTGAGATGATAGCCAATCATTTTTGAAATTTCTTTCACGATATTTTTAAACCGAAATATTGGGCAAAAATGTATATTCAGCTGTTTGTTCTTAATCCATTGCTACTTCATGACGTAAGGATTATCATTTATCTGAGAAAAGGAGATTATGAAAACATTCAAGTTACACCATTTGCCCATGTAAGAATATGTGAAGAAAGGAGAACTGTTGTCGGTTCTAGGTGATAATTTTACATCTTGTAAATATGACAGTTTTATTAACTTATTACGAGAGTTCTAAAATTTATATTGTAAATAAAATGGAAAAGCTTTAAATGATATGGATATTTGACTTTGTAGTAGGGGCTTGATAATCCTTTAAGAATTCTTTTAGCGGATGACGCAGCATGCATTTAACAGAATTATCGCCCAGACCAGTTATGTTATACCAGTGTAGGTTTGACCTCCACATTAGAAGAATCGTCCGGAATGTTCTTGATCAACACACTGGTATATAATCACGGGATTTTTTTATGGGAAGAAGCTGAACCCGAGAGGTAATAAATTGAAAGTGTCATGGCCGCTCTTCTTCGCAGGACAGACGTTTTTGCCAGGCGAGTGCCGTCTGCTCGCCGAATCCAAAATGGCACCTTCCAACTCCAAACACTCGTTCACGGCAGCCTATGCAAGTCTCTAAAAACGATTGAAGCGATACTGGATGTATAAATATCGGAAAGTGTCAAAAATGTTCATGAAAACACAGACGTTTCGGGTATATGACCCTTCTTCAGTGTTAAAAAACCGTTAAAAAACCGTTTAAATACGCAGTAGATTTGTAACTACGTTAGATGGGCGCCCGCACGTAGAAAAATTGCGCGTGCATTGTTTAAATGTAGCTGAAGTTTATGTTTAGTCCATGCGGCTGCACTGTTCCTGGCCGAAAAATCAGCGTCATCTCCTGTTGTTTTCGCTGGATGCTGGTGCCACTACACAAACAATAACAATAACAATGCACGCGCAATTTTTCTACGTGCGCGCGCCCATCTAACGTACTTACAAATCTACTGCGTATTTTAACGGTTTTTTAACGGT